AGCCAGCTAGGTCCTGGATTAAAACCTACAAAAGTGTGGGCCAAAATAAACATTTTTTTCATTATAAGTCAATGAACTCCTTGTATTAGTTATAGGAATATCTAATAATTATAACATGCACAGTACAGATAATATATTCCACAAGATCCCATTTATCCAGCTCGTGAACACCTACAGAGATAAACAAAAAAGACCCCTGGGAGTCTCTGATGGAGAAAGGCTATGGGGTCTTATTTTCTAGGCCAACAGGCAAGCTCTGTGTATTGCTCTGCCTCTGTGACAACAACTCCTTCCCAGAAAAGCTTCTGTGACAACCTAATGAGTTAATAAGATGTAAAGTGTCTGCTTTAGTATGATCCCTAGGATACTCAGGCATATACTCACTCACTGTAGCTCCCTCACAGTAAGTGCATTTTCCTGAAATGTGTCTCCCTTCATTTTATAACCACAAAAAAAATCGGAGATATGAAAGGCAATTTGAATAAAATGATCACTACAGGCAATCCACTAATGAGGAACAGAAATATAATAGAAGCATAGCAAAACAAGTCCCTTCCCCAGCTCTAGGAGGGAGGTCCTTAGAAGCATTCTGCAGTAGAGTTAATGCCCATCAGGCCCAGGTGAGAATTAATTTTAGTTCATCAACAGATACTTCACAAGGAAATACAACTAATAACTCAACCAATAACTAAAGATACAAGCATTCTACCTTGTTAACTGAAAAAAATAAAATGTAAAATACAAGAACTGTTCTCAACTATTAGACAGGAAGAGGGAGTTTATTTTAAAGATATTACTCAATGCTGCCAAGACTAGAATAAGTCCTAGACTTCACTCCTGGCCAGTGAAAGCAAACTGGAACAGACCTTTAGCAAAACAGATGGGCAGTCTGTGGGCAGAAGCAGGAAAAGCTCCCGCCCTTCAGCGTATTTCATTTCTGAGAATCCAACTCAAGGAAATGGGGCAAAGCCATCCCCATCGCCATGCCCGCAATGCTGAAGACTCTTCAGTAGTGGAAAGCTGAACAAGAATAACATAAAGGGCTGAAGGTGAAACTCAGAACAGACATTTGCTTGGCACATGTGAAGCCCTGGGCTCAAAACCAAGCAGTACCACAAAACAAGATAAGAAATAATAGCATATCAGTAACGTGATGCCAAATTAGTGGGTTATTACCTAGGCATTAAAATAATAGAGAAAAAAATAGGAAGATGACAGCATGATACAATGTTACATGAAAAAAAAATGGAAATAAAAGCTAGAACCTCCACGGTGAGTACAAGTGGGGCAAGGCCTAAGTGAAAGTTTCCAAGCTGCTGAGTGCGTGTAACAGAGACAGACTCTGATGCAATTCTTTTCTCTTCTCCTTTCCCCTAAATTTTACAATGTGTGATTTTTTTTAACCTTGATGATAGAATTTCTTATTTCTCAAAATGTCTTTCCTTTACTGTAGATATGAAAGAGCTGGTCACAAGACCACGTCCCGGCCGGGCATTAGTGTTACACACCTTTAATCCCAGCACTCAGGAGGAAGAGGCACGTGGAGCTCTATGAGTTCCAGGCCAGCCTGGTCTCCAGAGCGAGTGCCAGGATAGGCTCCAAAGCTACACAGAGAAACCCTGTCTTGAAAAACCAAAAAAAATAAAATAAAATAAAACCACGTCCCACCACGAGGCACCTCTCCAGGCTCCTCCATATCCTTTAAAAAAGGGCAAAGATTCTCAGCCTCTTTTCTAATACATTATCTTCTCACTGCCAAGGCATCACAGACCTCTTGCCACCATGACCTCTCAGGAGTTAGAGTGGCCACCTCACCTTCCCTGAGGCAAAGATTGTTTCAAAGAAACTTCTTTCCAAGGAGCTGGCACAGTTTCTCCACTTGCCGCTCCCAGAGAGAGTGAACGATTCACCTCAGCCCTCAGCCCTGTGCCACTGGCTCAAGCTGAACCTACCATGCATTTCTGTCACCTACATAGGAAGTTTCTTAAATGATTCTAAACACAGTGATGAGCAAAAGCCAAAAAGAAGAACAGGGTGGGAAAGATAGCTCTGTGGTTAAGAGTACTTGCTGCTCTTCCAGAGGACTGAGTTTAGCTCTCAGCATCCGTGTCAGATGGCTCCCAAGCATCTGACTCCAGTACCAGAATAGTTGATCCCCTCTATATCCATATGCAAACATATACATCTACACATAATTAAAAATAAATCTTTTTTTTAAAAAAAGACATGCAATAGAGCATGGCTAAATTACAGTGCACATATCTTCACAAAACAATTATTATAAATACATAGAAATATGGATAATGTTAAATAGAAAAAGCAAGGCATGGGTTGGGGAGATACCTCCATGGTTAAAGCTCTTGCCAGGCAAACATGAGGACTGGAGTTCAGATCTCCACCAGTAACTTCAGCCTTGGAAGGCAGAGAAAAGAGTAGCTCAGAGCAAGCTAGCTAGCTAGCTAGCAAAACTAGCCTTGGTAGTACTTTGGATTTAACTAGGACAGTCTGCCTCAATGAAGAGGAAAGAGCAATGGAGGATGACTCCAACATCCACCTCAGGCCTCCACATGTACATGTACATACATACACCCACACACACCCACACACACACACACACACACACACACACACACACACACACACACACACACACACGAAAATAGGGGAAGGAAAAGAAAACCACACAATCATACCCTTGTGACAACTATTTAACATAGTTTGTGCAGACTGCCCAGTAATTGTTCCTGCACTCATGGCACATAGGCAGCATGCTGATGCTTTCAGCACATAAACCAAGATATCACCAGGGTGCTCACACACTTCCAGACATCACCAGGGTGCTTCCTGCTCTCACTGGGAGAGGACAAAACTTGAGTCTTATCAAGGTAAAGAACTTTCTTTAATCCCACCAGTAGATTCTACATTAGAATATTCTGGAAACATGTCTAAGATCACATATTCCCCCAAGGACGCAGGAGAGGACCATGTTGGAGTCTAGATGGTCTGCCTCTAAATCCCACGCTCAGCTCCTAGACTGGAGAAGATTATGAAAGAAAGTTAAAGTTCAATTTCTCTTAGAAAAGGGACTTTCCCCTTCCCTTTATTGTCTAAACTTTCAAGAGCTGTTTTCTCAATTTAAAGCAAAAGCTAGGTGGGTAATTTAAAGCAAAAGCTAGGTGGGCAATGTGTCTGTAGGTATAGTAAAAAAAAATTAATTATGTCTGGATCAAAAGACTAAGCAATGCCTGCTGGGTCTCTCCCACACTTGGGGAGAAGAGCAGACTGGAGGATAGCCAGGCATGAGTCTGCTCCAAACCAAACCAAACTGCTCCAAGTAGCTGCTGGCACAGCCCCCTTTTCTAAAACATTCTCTTTCCACTGCCTCTTCCCATTTCTTCATGAATTCTAATATACTAGGCTGCACCCATGAAGGCAGAGACTTCCAGAGAAGTCAGTAATGTCACTGCTGCTACTGCCAGAGGTGGGGCTGGACCAGCTTAATCCTGCATTCCTTTACACACTTGTGGGCTGAATATTGCCAGCCAGCTAATGACAGTCTATATCTACTGCTGTTCAAAAGCACACGGTGCCCTGAACATGGCAACTCTATACTCTTATTGACTGTTTAATGCTCCTTAAAGCTCAGCCGAAGACAAGGCTCATACATTCTATCACACTTGAAACTCAATTTAAAAAATGTTAGATTTCTAGAAGTTTTAAAGTTATGCTAGAAGCAAGGAAACAATGAAAGAGACCTAATGCTTCTCAAAAAAAAAAAAAAAAAAAAAAAAAAGCAGTTTAGGAAAAAAAGAAAAGAATAATAAGAAGAAATGTATAGGCCTAACAATTTAATGAGATAAATCACATGTAACAAGATTTAATAAGCCTCCAAGTCTCTCTAGTTTTCTTCTCTGCAAACCTCTGAAGAGGAGAAACAGGCATGGAGGACACTGTACCCCACACCAGGTGAGCGGTCAGCCTCAGAGCAGGCAGCTTGTCTGCATAAGCACACCATCAGCAAGGGAGGATCTGGCTCCTAAGCCCGAGCTCCTTCCTGTGCATCAACAGACAGAACCTCATACCCCAGGAACAGCTCTGATAAACATTCAAGTTCTTAGCCTCCCAGCGCTTTGCCCTCAGCTGGCTCCCATAGTCACAGCAGAGCCAGAACAGAGTCTCCCTGACACAAGTGCCACATGGCGTGGCTCCCAAAGTCTATGAAAAAGCAAAGATGTATGGCTCCATGGCTGTTGCCCATCAGATGAGCCAGAGCCACACCTCCTGATGCTGCCTACCTGCCAGGATGCCAGGAGGATGACCCAGAGCCAAGCTCACTGTGCTGAGACCAATTCAGAGGAAGACGAAAAGACTCTTCAGGGTAGGGAGGATGGTCACTGAACTGCACTGTCCGAGCTGCCTCCTTTCCTGGCGATCATCCTCAACCCAGACCTTATGCAGGTTTCAGAGCACAAAATGGGCAGGAGGCTAAAGAAGGAGGTGGGGTGGGGAGGACCACAGAGACCATACCACACTGGTTCACCAAAAGAGGAAGGGGCCAGTGAGGGCCCAGGCCTTGACCATCTACAGAGAAAAGGAGGTAAGGCTGCATAGGTACATGAGCTGAGAATCCACTCAGTACAGGATGCTGACATAATATTAGTCCACAAAGAATCATTGAGAGAATTCTACCACACATTCAGATAGCCTCCAGCCCTGGACCAAGGCAGCCAGATATAGTCCTTTTGACTGAGAGGCATCCCAGAACATAATGCTTGGTTCTAAAAGTAAGGGTAGCATCCAGGGAAGGGGATGCTCTGCTCACCCAAGCAAGAGCTCTCCTACCATATTACACTTCTGCACAGACCACACTGCTTGAAGACAGGTGGAAAGTTTGCTCACAGCAAACAGGACGCAAGATCCAAGCCTGACTGGACCCCCTGCTCTTGGCCTAGAATTCCGCCCTTCTCAACCCCTGCCCATAACCACAGGCAGCCACTCACGGCATTCCTTCTCGTCACTCTTGTCGAAGCAGTCAGGCAGCCCGTCACACTGCCAGGCACCCGGAATGCATCGCCCGTTGCTGCACATGAAGTTACCTGGGATGTTGCACTCGTTGGTGAAGTTGTTCCCAGGGAGCAGCTGGCTCTCTGTAAGAAGGAGAGAACAGGTGGTCAGAGGCACAGCCAAGGGCCTGAGCCATGGCCTAGCTGGAGAGACTGATGCTCAGCACAGGTGAGACTTCCACTGGGTATCTTTGCTTCTCTGGCTCTGTTTCCACACCAATGAGATGTACTTATACCTCGGACCACCTCTGTACAAAGATGCTGAAGAACTAGCTGAAGGAATGAAAAGGAAGCATTCAGTATCCAGCATGTAACAACAGGTGCTCATCTCTCTCATGAAGATCTATGAGAAATGGCACTAGAGATGACTCAATTGTTGAGGACACTTGTGGCTCTTCCAGGGGACCAGAGTTCTGATCCTAGTATCCACATCTGGCAGCTCACAACTGTCTGTAATTCTAGCTCATAACTGCCTGTGACTCCCTCTCCTGGCTTCCATTAATATCTGCACATATGTACGTACACACACACACACACACACACACACACACACACACACACACACACAAATAAATAAAAAACAAAAAAAAATATATTGTTGAGAAAACCCTAATGTTCTTTTCTGGCCAGCAGCAACAGCTAAAATTTAAAGTTCCAGATAGGAGTATGCACTGAACCCCAAATATCCCCAACAGCAGCAAGACTTCTAGGCCTCAGACTCATAGCCCCTATAGTCACAGAGTCCTTGAATTGGAGCCAAGCTGGCAAGAATACCAGGAGATCATTTCCCTCCAGGAAATAGGATACCTTGGTCTAAAAATCAATGTGCCTGATGTGAGGGTAGGAAAGTTCAAGATGAAATCTATGCTCAGGCCTGTTAACCCCCAAGAGGCTGCCCTGATCACTACACTATCCAAAAGTTATTGGAGATTTAGAACCAAGTCCCAAGGTTCAAGTTCAAGTTCACTGAACAATCATAAAATGCCAAGGGCCCTACCCAGCATCGCCCTTAGACAGGAAGTTAAACAGAGACCTAATGCTAGCAGGTAAGGGAAGGTGCAGGGCTTATCCACCTTGAACCTTGGAGGTCAATTTTTCTAGAGAGCCAAGATCTGATAGGTCAGATCAACCTGGGCCAGTGTGATTGAAGACTGGGAGAGAAGTAGCCACCTAGAAACAAAATGGTGTTAGACAAAAAGGAGTTATTCAAAAAAACATGTACCAGGCATTTATGACCAGACACTTGTGCTGTGAAGGAAAGACACAAGGACATGTGTACACTAAATACTTTATTGACACTAAGGTGTTAGGAACATGGCCTTCTAGAGCCGCCTGTGAGTAACAAGATAGCAAGACAAGCTCTTCTTTCACAAGTGTAGCCAACGGAAGAAGCTTCAGATCATTGCTCAGATCCCTCCTGACATCCCTCATACCACTCACCTGCTATGTACCTTCTTCCTTTCTTCATCACCATCATCATCATCATCATCATCATCATCATGCCTAGAACACACTTCATACCACTTCGTCTCCCAGGAAATTGCTGTTCACCTGCCAGCATCAAACTCCTCTGTTACCTTCTCTCTGTGGAGTGTTGCCCAGCTACTTCATGCACAGAGAAGCATGATTGTCTGGTAATGCTACTTTTGAAGTGGTACTAAAAGTACTCCTTTAACTGGAGCAAGCAAGCCAGAACCAATGGAAATGGACACAGCCATCAAACAAGCCCCTGTGCTGTGGATATCCTCTTGGAGACCATCTGCTACCTGATACTAAATTAGCAACACGTATACATGTTGCTCTTCAGAAATGAGTTTTCATAGTTCATTCCAAGAGGGAAGCTACAGCAAAAAGTTCCACTCAGGCCAAGTACCTCACAACCCTTACCCCCGGCTCCCTCTATCAGCCCTGCATGTGGCCAATCCCTCTCTCACTGCAGCTAAGACTCTAGTCCATGCAGCTACCATCCCCGTGGGTATCACCACTGGCTACAACTTCCAACTCAGCCTCCTGTCTCACAACTTGCTCCCCCAAGTCTTAATCTGTCTTCTGGCCAGAAGAAAAAACACAGACTATGACAGTTTCTTACTTTAAAAGACCAGTGAATTGGGGGTAGGGGGAGATGGCTTGGTTGATAAAGTGCTTGCCATGTAATCATGAGGTGCCAAGTTCAATCTCTAGAATCCCCTTCCCAAAAAAGACCATGATCCCAAGGGAAGTGGAGATAGGTGGACAGATCTTGAGAAACAACAGCTAAGGTTTCCTTAGCTTTGGGCTTCACTCTCACACATCCATGAACACACATGCATGTAGACCCCCGTATACACATAAACACATGGACATTTATGCACTTACATAGACACGGGAACACGAACACCCACATAGGCAATGAATAGCTTCCCAGTGGTTTTTAGTTAGAATTCAAGGCAAGCAAGAAGGATTCCAAGAAAGAAGTGGCATTTCAGTGGAGGCTGATATAAAGTAAAGGCTCTTTGGATCAAAGGAACAGAGTCAAAGACATGATGTGGGGAGGCACAGCCTGCGGCATGGGTCAGAAATAAAAGACATGCTGTTCTGATGGGTAGGAGTTACAAACACACTGTGTCACCCAGCCACCCAATCTATCAGGATGTTCCATTCCACAGAGCACAGAGTCAACACAGGACTTCCTTTCAAGGCAGCTGCACAAGTCACCACTAACCCTGTAAAGAATGAGCAGGAACTTCATTATCTCCAGGGAGAAATCTGGATGCCCTTGGGGAGGAACCCAGAAAGCAGTCACATGGTGGATTCTAGCCAGATACTTCATGCTCAGCCAGATCCTCCACACCCTGATCCCCCACCCCCCATATACACTTCAGCTGTTGGAGAACAACTGCTCTGAACATCACCAGCCAGCAGGGGCTTCCTTGGGGCTGTGGAATGCAGAGCTGTCACTTGGTTTTGTTTGGAAATCACTTCGACTCAAGTTTGTAGAGCTAATTCCTGGAAGACAAACCACCAGGAAAAGCCACTACAACTGTGAAATCTTGTTCTGATAAACAGATTTCTAGAACTAGAAAAATTGGCCAGATTAGATTCCAAAGAGCTTGCTCCTAGCATCAATGAGGCTGGCGACACGTGGACCTGATGAATGGCTGGGTGGGTTCAGAGATAACTTATCCCATCAGTTACATCCGTTATACACAAATGTCCTGCCAGTCCTGGGGCATGTTGCCTAGTGAATACAACACGCACATGCTTTAGGAAAGTGACATCACCAAACATAAGAAGAAATCAAAGCAAGAGAAGATTGTGTTGATTCTATCTTTCAAATCTCCCTCAAGCCTAGCCTACTGGCCTAGTAGCACCTGTGCCATTGTCTTTTGTCCCCTTTTCAACCAGCAATCTGCACAGTAAGAATTTTGTAGAGACATAAGTCAGGGCCTGGAGACATTTTCTCTTGTCATGATTAGGGGTAAGATACTACTGACATTTAGCATGTGAAGGCCAGGGGTGTAGCTTTGCATGGAAGGGTCTGGGGCTTTAAAGAACCATGTGTCTTTGACTGTTAGGAATGGCAGGTGTGTTGTGCTACATTTCTTCTATTCTATCACCTATTGAGACACCACAACACAGAACCATCTGGCTTGGCATGTCAATAGTGCCAAGGCAAAGAAAAACAAGTTTAAGCCAACCTGCTACTTAACAGTTCTCACTCCCTCCAGTTGTTTCTCTTCACACTGAGTGAGTTTTTTCAATGCAGGGGATGGTGTCTCTGGGCCCTTCATACACATCTGAACTCTTGTCACCCTAGTGTAGAGATCCCAGTGTGACCCTGCCTGTGAAGGCCCTGCAATGTCCTTTAGAACCAGCATCATGTGGGTGTAGTCCCTGCCCTCAGGCTTCCAAACACTTGGCTGGCTGGAGTCTCGGTCTACCTTCCCCTTGGTGTTTGGGGCTGTGTGAGGCCTAATTGTTAGTACCTCACAATGGGAGTGCATTTAAAGATAGAGTCCTTAAAGAATAATACGTTAAGATGAAGCTGTTAGAATGGGCCCTAATTCAACACAACTGGTGTCCTTACTGGAAATGGGAATTAGAGCACAGACATATGTGGAGGAGACAACATGAAGACACACAGAGAAGGCAGCCATCTGTAAACCAAGCAATAGGGACTGAGAAGGAACCAATCCTGCTGATAGCTGGATCTCAGATCTTCCCAACTGTGGAACAAGCAATCTCTGACATTCAAGCCACACAATCTTATGGAAATCTAATCCAATAGGCTAGCCTCCTCCTGCTCATCCTTCGACCCCAGGGTAGTCATCATATCTGAGACCCTGGTCCCAGACAACCAGCCTGAATCTGATCTTTCCATTAATCCCTCTGCTCATGTCCTGTGCTTTGCTGGATCCCAGCCTGTGCTGGGGGTTGCCTCTACACTAATGTTCCTGCTAGGCAGAATATATCCCAACTAGGCCTAGTCTCTGTTCTGCTCAGCTCTGCACCCCTGGCATCTGCCATTCCCAGCTCTCCCATACGTTATCGCAGACAACTCTAAGAAGAAAACCAGGCATGGCATTAGTACCTTAACCCCCATCCCTGAACTGCCCTATCAGCCTTACCTCATGTCCCTAGCATGTGGGTGGGACCTGTGCATACATAGTTAAGATAAGGGATAATGGGATCTGGACCTGAACAAGTTCCTTGTCTGCTTGAAAGGAGGTTTAGAAATCTTTTCAGACTGACTGCCAGGTTTTCCAGTGGCAGCAATATGTATCCCATCTCCAAGTCTTGAAACATATTTAAATAAAAAATTGACCAACATTAGCACAAAATTGGCTCTCTTCTCCTCTCTTCTCTTTTTTTCATTAAGCCAAAGAATCAAAAGGAGTTGCCTGTTTCCACTGCAGTACATCATTTAACTGAAAATAACTACACCATCTGTACAAGAATGGAAAATAAAAGCCAAGCCCTTCCTTGTCAAGCAAAAGACAGCAGCCCATCGCTACAGTTTTTTCAATGGCCCTGGCCCACAACTCTCTACTTGATGTGGGGAACAAAACTGGGGTGATTAGAAACTCCAGCCAGGGCTACATTCTGCTGCAATCATCCAGAACAATCAGCTAGTGACAGTGACTTTTCCAGTTGAGAAATGGGAATTTCATTCTGGCAGCTGGAGTCCCCTGGCATTTCTCATTGCTCTCCACTCAGCCTCTCTGCCTAGCAGCATCCGTCACGGTGCAGTTTGAATGGACATCTGCAAACAATCAGCAGGCTCCATTTTCTGATTTCTGCCCAGTGGCCTTTCATTCTTCTCATTCACTTCCTGACAATCTAGGTCTGTGGGCCAAATGAACAGAACAAGATGCACAAACTCATGTGTGCAGTACACATGAGCAGCTTAACATTCGGGCTTGCAGATCTCAGACACATCTTCACTACCACCTCTCCAAAAGGTCAAATAGACTTCCCCCATTGTCAGGTGCCAGCAAGCTCAGGAACCACCAATTTCTCTGTGACTCACTTCTTGAGACACATACACACACTTGCATTTGTGTGTGTGTGCACATTCTCTCTCTCTCTCTCTCTCTCTCTCTCTCTCTCTCTCTCTCTCTCTCTCTCTCTCTCTCTCTCTCTCTCTCTCTCCTACAGGAGGTCAAGGCCACCTAAGGATTTGTTTACAAGCATACCTAGAACACCTCTGAAGAGCTCCTCCACTTTGGACTGTTCCCATGTGATATGAGCACTAAACAGAACCCCAGACATCTGTCCTGTGTATTTCCAAAAGCCATTTGGTCCTCATCACACAAATGTCTTCTTCCTGTTCAAGCTTGGATATGGGAGCATCTGGCTGTCACCAAGAAGGCAGAAGTCACACAAGAATGTCTGTGTCTGGCCAGGCTCCAAGCACCTGAGCTTAGGCAGGCCCCCAGCCTTGTTAATCTAGACTCCCTCTGCCATGAGCTTATTCCATTAGTGTTGCCTCGGTTTACCCAGCTGATCGAGGAAGATCACTCAAACATGTTGCTAAGAAAGGATAAAATAACCCCATACTTCAGTCTAGGAAAGATGACTCTTTATATTCACAAATGTACTACAAACATGGTCCATGGCCCTGAAGGTAAAGTCACACAGTTTCCCTCAGGAACAAGTTAAGGATGTAACAGGTCACAAGGATAAGGAGTGAACACAGCTGTCTCCCCAGCATCTTCCCATCACACAGCTTCATGGCTTATTTCTCCCAGGAAGTGTTCTGAGATAACGGATGCTTTTTTCCTTCTTACATAATAAGCTAGGAAAGAAAGCCAGTGGCTAACATTCAAAAAGCGAGGGATGGTCACAAGAGGAGGTGTAGGAACTGACAGTTTCCCCAAGGAGTCAGCTCATAAATTATTTTTATCTGGACCTGTGTGGCCTCTAGGGCTGAAGCTACTGCTTATATTTTTATGTATGTTTTCATTTTTATGCATCATTTATGCATGTTTCATGAGACATATTATGTGGAAATTGTGTTTGTGGGGGGGGGGGCTGCAGAGCCTTTGTGGGGTCTCATGTTCACAGTCCGAGGGCCTGCAGCTCCTTGTGATGCAATCCACAAGTTGAACCCTGAACCATACCAGGGCCTTCGCTCAACCCTCCTCTGGCTGCTTTAACAGCCCTGTTCATGCTAGGTACTCTAGGCCTTCCACGGGGGAATATCTACCATCTGCCAAAGCACTTGAATATGGCAGGGATTTAATAGCAATTCTTTTTTTATTAGTTCTTAGAAGAACCCCATGAAACAGGCACCCAGCCCCTTTTATAGATGAAGGAACACACTAAAGACAGGACTCACCCAAGTTCACACAGCTACAGACTGTCAGATGGTAAATAATTCAGTTGTGCAGGCCATGAAGCTGGGCTAAGGCTACTGTACAGGTGCGTGGATAAGACAGAGAATAGCATCCCATAAATCTTTCATTGATGGGATTTTTCAAAAGTCTTCAAAATCATTAAGAGCAGTTTTCTGTATTTCAGGGGTCTACCACAGAGAAGAGTGGGTCTCTTTCTAGGATAATGAACTTTTCGTGTAACTGAAAGTCAAAGCTAATCAAAATGGATTGTAATTTTTTGCCTTTTGCACATTTCTAACTACTTAAACCTGTGATCAGGAACTGTCAGACAACAGGTAACAGGCAGGTACAGGTGCTTATCAACCAACAACTGCGCCACATGTGCATCCCATCACACTCACCATGTAAAAAAAGAGGTTGTTTTTACTGTTCCCTGACCCCAGAGAACCTCGGCTCTTCTGCTGCCATGTCCCTAGCAAAGAGCAAATGTCAGGCATTGAGACACCCCACAAATGGCTGCTGACCACAGTTATGGGGACAGAACCTGCTGACTGCCACAGACATTACTTCAGTTCTGACATGGATTTATCTGAACTGCCTTGAACTTCAATTTTGCTTTGCTATGTGTAATCCAGTGGATCAATGAACTGGACCTGCAGAATGAAGCTTTTCTACGTTCCAGAAAGAGAGGCACAGAGGGAAGAACTTAAACACATGTCCAACAGTGCCTATCCATGCCCTCACCAAGGATGGGCTGCATGGCAGATACAGCAAGAGTCCAGTGCAATAAAACTCCCCCCCCCAACCTTTTGCTTATGCAGCTTCCAACAGCAACAGCAGGAGGGGGTCAGTAAAGCTGAGCTGAAGGGCAGGAGAGGGGACAGCTTTCCGACCAACTTCATCAGGTTGTGATAAGCTAGGATTGTGATAAAGCTAATCACCACTTCACTCAGGCTCAGATGTAGGTAGAGGTCAAGAGTGAGGGCTGTGCTTCAGCCCCAAGATTATCCCCAGGCACCCAGAGACCATGGCAGCCATCTCCACAATCATTGGGAACCACTCTGCAGCACACCATCTGCTCACACTAAGCCCCCTGCCCCCCCCCACACACACACACTGCAGGCAAGGCTGCAACATAACAATGCCAGCTAGGGAATGAGCCAGAAAAGCAAAATGACCTTCACTCTGGCCCCAAAGCACATCTTGATGATAAAGGATTTCTGAACTAAGACTCAAAACAAGAACAGGCCAGAAAGGAAAAGGCAGCTGGATACAACTGCATTAAACGGTGGTGTTCCAGGTCACAGATAAATACTATAAACATGCTTCAGACACCCCATCCCCCGGGAGAAGATGCTCACCGTGGGACCACAAGGTGTGGATGTGCAGAATCTTCTTGCAAAACTTCATAAGGGAATACAAACGATGTAATGGTGGGGGGCAGGGCTGGACAAAGCATCCGGAGCAGGTGCATCTGCTGATGAAGGAACGCTACATTACTGTAATCACAGGGTGATTAATGGAACAGAGAAGCTCTCATCCACAACCATCAGGCTTGCAAAAATCTAAAGCTGCCATAAGTGGAACACCATGGTGGAACCCAGGCATGGCACATGCTTGGGGATTCTGAAGAGGGCCTGAGGGCAGTATACAAGGTCCAAGAAGACCATTCTAGGCAGCTAATGAATATGCACAGTGAGTGCACAGGGTGACACAAGAGAACAACACAAAGCAGGGGCTAGTACAATAGCTAAATAACTAAATGAAACTATTCCGTTAGTTTAATGACCTGAGTCTAATCTCTGGAACCTAAATTTTAAAGAAAAGGAATAAAAAGCCAGATGCACTGGCTTCTACCTGCAGTCTCAGTGTTCCTACATCATGATGGGAGGTGAAGACAAGAGAATCAGCCTGAAGCTCATATAGGTGGTACAGAAGAAATGAGAGACCCTGCCTCAAAACTAAGGTGGACAGAATCCACTCCAAAATGATTGTCCTCTGCACATGTGACTCAAAAACAGAACAAAACAAAACAAAACAAAACAAAACAACCATACTACTACATGCTCATCAGAGGAACAGAGGAAACACTCGCCTTTCTCCACAGAGCACAAGCAGCCAGGGCTTTCATGGAATGAACAGAGGTGAAAGTGAATTCACATGGATAATTCTGAGAAACTTAGCAGGAAGTCAAAGGCAAGCTGCAGAATGTCATCCATACTAAGCTCAGAAACAAGCAACATAGGGGACACATGGAGAGAATGACTACCAAGTTTGAGGTCATGGTTACCTCACGTAGGCAGACTCAGAGAGGACCCAGGTGGGCACGGATGGACTTCCAGGGCAAGCTGCCTTTCTTTCAGCAGTCTGAATCAAGCAAGAACCCAGGAAAGCAGGGAGTTAGCATACGGGCTTGCGAGGCATTTTTCTTGGTAACCTTCTGTGTACTTTAAAACATTTCATGCGTAAATTTCATTATAGAGAATGAAAGCTACACTAATATTTGAGGGAATCTACAAAAGATAAATGATACCAAATATGGATGATACTCTAAACTTCAAAACACCCTCAACTGCAAAGGAATGCAAGATGGAAGGGATATGTGTCACACTGGAAGAGACCAAGACCGTGCAAATGTGATGACGCCCATCTAGGAGCTTTGCTCTGTTATGAATTCTTTTCATTTTCTGAAAGGCGGCAACAGTTGCATTGTACAAGTCAATCATGAAGGGAAAACTAAGTGTCTCCCACCAGACAGATTTCCCCACCCACATATTAAGCCATGGCATTCCAAGGGCAAAAATAACCAAACCTACCACCAGATCAGACACTTTAGACACAAATTCTAAGAAGCTGAATCTGATTAGGCCCCTCTGCCCCCTAGCCTTCAGCTGAGCTGAGACATGCTGGGGGGGGGGGGGACAGAATCAGGGATTTGCTAAATAGAGCTCCCTGGCTTTTACACAGGAGAGGTGGCCTGGGAGGAGGGGCAGTCTGGAGAAGCCCAGCCTTTGCACCTTACCCTCCTCCCACCCCTTCTACTGTGAAGAACCACCAGACCCAGGCTCAAACCTAGTTCAAAGGTTTAAGAAAACTGTGTGACTTTGGACAAGGGAGTCACACTCTCTGAGCCTCAATACTCCACCCCTCTGGCAATGCTGCCGAGAGATAGAAAGATGCTAGATGGACAAACAGGGCATCAATGATGGATGGATATAGCATGGACAACAGCAGGCGGCTTGGAGTTCGGGAAACAGCCCTCTTTGTTCCTCCTTTCCTGCCATTCTTTCTCACTGACTACTCAGAGTCTGATAACGTCTATGGTATTTAGAGAAGGCCTTGTCCCTCTAAAGGCCTTGACTGTGTCGCTTAGATCCAAAAGCAAACCATGTTACCTTCTCTCCCGTGATCATCTCAGCTCCAGAATTTCCTAAGAAATCAAGAGCCCTCTGGCAAAGGAGATGGCTCAATGGGCAAAGAGCTTACAGTGTAGACATGAGGGCGTGAGTTCAAGTTTTAAGAACCCACATAATACATGCACCTGAAATTTCAGTGTTCCCATAGCAAGATGGGGGCAGGGTGGAGCCAGGAGAATCCCTGGGAGCTCAAAGGCCAGCTAGCCTGGTTTATGTAGAACAAAACAAGGAACCCTATCTCAAACAAGGCCTTTCTGTTATTCTCTGACCTCCACAAGAACACTGTGGCACATGTGGCATGTGCACACACGCACACAATGTAGAGGAGGGGGCTCTTTGAGCTGCAGCCAGGCTATGACATGGAACAATTGTTCCAAAGAACCTGGAATTACTTCTCCACCCTAAGCCTCAGTTCCCCCATGCATTAAGGAAGGCACTGGTAGATGATGTCTGAGTCATTTCTCTATCCTTAATGCACCCCTCTTTGTCTCTGTAGTGGACAAATATACACCATCTCCCTATTCTGGATTATTATTCAGCATTGAAAAGTAATATCTGGGTTCACATGGAGGTCTTCCTACAGGAAGTTTTTCTTTTTCTAACACAGAGCAACTGGGAACCAGAGATCATCAGCCCTTTGAAAGGCAGGCTGGAGCTGCCCAAAGAAACCAGGTTCCTGGCTACTGGGGAGACCTAGTCCTGGCCTGTGCTGTCAAGAGATGACAGGTCTCATGTAGTCCTGCAACCAGAGACAATGTATCCAAAGGGTCAGGGGTCAGACCTGCCTCCCATTCCTTATGGATCCATCCAAGGGACTCTCCAATTCAGTTCACTTATCCACTACCTTCCATCATGTACTCAGTAAATGAACAATTGTTTGGCTTATCACTTCCTATTAGGAAAGGAACTCTGCCCCCACCCCGGGGGGGGGGGGACGATATACCATTCTGTTACCACCAATAAAGGTGGCATGCCTATTAACCAATGTGTCTTCTTAAATATTCCTAAGTAGTTTAATCCATTAAACTGGTCCATCCCACTTCTACAGTCTGTTCACATGGCACCGTCCCTTCTCACTGAGCTGACAACAAGCCCTCCCTCATGAGGAATTAACTGACATCTTGAGCAAATACTGTTGGGACATCTAGTGAGCACTAGACTAAGAAGTACTTACTGTGGGAGTCCTCAAGGATCACAACTCTCAGAGCAATTTACCTGTGCAAGAAACATGTCAGCTCTAATGAGTCAGGGAACTAAAACCCTTGGATAAACCTGTTTGAGCTTTCCAGACTATAAAAGTTTAAAATTAAGGAGGATACTCCTGAAATCCCTGCACTTGGGAGGCTGAGGATGGAGGAACTGACCTAAGGGCCAGCCTAGGTTACATAGTGATGGCTATCTCAAAAGAAAGAAAACAAAAACTAAGGCTAGAGTTCTCATTCTAGAAAGATGATAGCCCATGTGCCCCAAATGCCTATATCATTCCGTCCAGCCTCAGGGAACAGCTTCAACACCATGACTCAGTGTACCCGTTTACAAAAGGGAAACAAAACAAACCCTAACCTAACAAGCTCCATGGGTAATCAAAGGAAAAAGAACTGTTTCACTTTAAAAAAAAAAAAAGTACAAATTGAATGGGAACTTCCAGGTTTTCACCCATTTTTATGACAACACACAGATAGAGGCCATAAGATTAACCACAGCTCACTTCTTAAAGGTATTATTATTCACTATTAAAGAGTTACTATTCTATAAAAACTAGGTGTCATGTAGATACATAATATGTCATTTCCCAAGGCATACCACTATAATATAACTACATGATTAGTAATTAGAAGACGGGTGATCTGAACTGCACAAGGATTCACCCTATACTAAATACAATAGAATCATTCTAGGTGAGATGAGAGAGTGGAAGAAGTGAGCTGTTCATTAAGAAATGATTTTTCAATAAATTCAATAACATGCCCCATAGTGTAGCTCCTGGTCTTCTGGCTACTGCATTGATCTCTGCTAATGGGGACAGCTCAGAATGAAGTACTGGCAAGAAGTCAAAAGGCTTGATGAACACTGAGACCATGATTCACTTCCAAGAAGGATGCAACCCTGCAGGTCCCTCTCTCTTCAGTCCCCAGCATTAGCTGGTTCCTGCCCTCAGCCTTCCTCATGGCATTACCATTGGCCTCCCAGTCCCTGAACCTAATGGCTACTTATCTATATTCACCTCAAGCACACATTTTTGCTATTGCTTGAGGCAGAGTCTCACTATGTGGCCCAAGCTGGCTCAAAACTCAACCCTTCTGCCTCTCAGTAGAAGCCCAGGTATTACAGATGTGAGCCACCATGCCTGGTCTATGTGCAAATTTCCACTGCACTGGGTCTCCTGATCAGTCCTTTCTTCTAAGTTACACACATATCTCCTGTTCCCCCGCCTGCTGCATACACGCTCAGAAGCAACTTCCTACATCTCTCCCTCAACAGTCTCAGGGTTCTGCTTCCTATGGCACAAGCAACATTATGGCTTCCCTGAATAAGCCACCTTGTCCACTATTAGGTTTGACCTTCAAGCTGATACCTCCCTCTCTGGCTAAGTTATTTTCCTTTCAACTCCATCCTGTACCCACGCCTCACGGTTTTGTCCCCTATGGCCAAATGTACTTCCATAGCAACATCAGCCTACCACGCCTAAAACAGAACTTTAAGCTTCTCTAAGCTCGCTCCTCCTGCCTCCAACCCTCACCCTCTTCCGAGTCACACAGGTCAGCAGGTGGTATTTCTCATACATCTTTCCTCTCTATCTTGCTTCCCACAGCCCTATCACCAATCCTTCCCTTATTACCTACAACCTCATTAGCATTTCTCAGTCTGCAGAAGCCATCGCCCCTAGAACAAAGCTCACCACTCCATTCCAATATTGCCAACAGTCCCATAGTCCCATCCCCTGAAAGGTAAGGCTGGAGACCCTGGTGTGGGTGCAGGATGCCCTGTGTGTGACAGGGGGCCCACATCTCCA